CCTTTTGGATGGTTAGTTAAACCTTGGGTTTTAGAGTTCATCGGGAATTGGGTCTAAATATCCGCCTGCCTGAATTCGAACTATGGCAACATTGGATGAGTTTTCGCGTGGTTGCGGCCAAGCCGAACACCCAAGTCGCCCCGTCACCTCTGAGCGTACCTCGGCCTTGTTCAGCGGGCGTACTGCGCGGGACTACCCCGGTATGTGGAACTGCTCGCACCCTCAAGGCATCGAGCCATGTGGACCGTGATATGCGATTACTGAATATTTCAGCTGTTTTCTAGGGATTCGCTAATCCTACCATTTATAGCCTTTCCTTCATTTTTTTCCTTTGATGGTTCACTTTCTATTTCTCACTTTTGAAACCATTTTCATTTGGAATAGTGTAGTTACCGAAGTCGAGTTCAATTCACCTCTTTCCGTAACGCTATAACATAATCATACAAATTCAATTTCAATCATTGATGATATCGAGTTGTGACTGATTCGTGTGCAAAGTCCTTGTGAAAAACTGCGCAAATTCGGCACAGTTCGATTCCAGTACTTTTATTATTCGAGTTGAAGCTGACAAAATCTGTACCTAGTTGGCGTGATTTTACCTCAACTAATTCAAACGGAGGTTTGCAATGTGGCCTAATGTGTTAGGAATTTGTGTTTGAAGTTGGCTAAGAAGTTGAACTTTTTTCCGAATTAGTCTTACATGGTCAACCCTTCAAAAGTTATGGCGAAATTGAAAGCTGAATTCTGTATCTTTTCAGTTAAAAAAGTTAATTTCAACAGACTGAAATATTTCTTCTTTTGTAAAGTGAACACAATCATATTTAACAATTTGATTTTGTAAACAAACATCGGTTACAACGTTTTCGAACCTGAGATCATTCTCTTTCAACCTTCCTCAACGAGAGTTCAATATCACGTTTATGCAATCAATGAAGCAGAGTCCGTTTATCTTAAATTGTTGGCGTTTTCCATGCCATATTGACCGGGAATAAACTTGAATTGACCGCCTTCTGTGTCCACCAGGCTGCTGGATTCCTTTGATTCGTTTCACCAAGCCACTCCAGAATCAACAGCGAGTCGTACGGCTTCCAACTGACCGCCTGTACCGGCCTTCGCTCCCACGGCCACTCGCGCTATAACTCCCCGCTGTCACGACGACAGAGAGAAAAATCCATCGCATTTCACGAGCTCACGCGCCGGGTGAAACTAAGCGAAAACTCGGTTCAACATGTTTTCATTTTAATAGTCTGGCTGGTGGGCGGTAGCCGTAATTTATATACGGTGGCATCACTGCTCTACAACGTCGAGGTTAAACTCACAATTATCGCATTGTCTCCTCTCTCTGTCTTTTCAATCGATACTGGTATTACGGATATGCAATCTCCCTTTTATGTAAGTCGAAAGCAGCTCATATTATAATACAGACATCGGACATGGTTTGAATGACTACAAATCTACTTATTCGAGTCAAAACTGGAAATATTTCCTACACCTTTTCATAGAAATTTGCTAATTTGTACAGTTATATCTTCGAGGCCAACTAGAAAAAATTGATACCCGTTTCACAAATGATGATTCGTGTTGTCATAATCGTAATTATTGTTGATTCAACCATTGTTGCGTTCGCCTCTTCTGCTGAATAATGATATTGATTTTCCACGGAGCTTGCCATGCCAAACCATATTGCATGGTTTTAATTTCCTTAGCTTGCATCGCAGTGCTGCGAGAATCTTAACTCCCACTGTCCTTCGGGACACATTGAATTCTCTCAGTCCACCATGCTCACGGGAATAGCTCATTTTGCCCGCCAGTGAAACATTCGAACATTAAAACCAAAGTGATGATATTTTAAAACCAATTGTATGATTTTGACTCGTATTTTTGTGCATTTGAAATTGAAAAAAAAAATTAAAACATCTACCCTGAAGTGGACGGGCGTCCCAAACGTTGATCACGTTGTCGTTTCTCCTCAAGGTCGAAACAAATGAAGCAACTTTTCTCCTCATTTGAAAGTAATGTTTTTTGCTTAATTAACTAAGCGCATGCGGCAAAACAATCGGAATTCTTTGGAAAACTCATCACATGTTGTAAGTTTGTATCTCCAATATATAGTTGTAATTTGGAAGTTGAATTTCTGTTGTCGTTAACAGATTCATAATTTCCAAGCCATTACTTGGGATTGAAAATGTTAGACTTGGTCCTGAACCACAGTAGTTTGTCAAGCTGCCTCTTTTGTTCCCACTGGTTGTTTCCGCGCCAAATTTGCAGTCTCTCCCCGAAGCTGGCGTAGTTTCCTCCTGCGAATATCTGCTATGGACAATGCCGTCTCCCGGAGCCATAGCCCTGCCTAACCTTGGCCTTCCGTCCTCGCTCGATTCGCCAGTCACAGTAGGGGGGTTCACCCTGTTCATTCCTCCCTCCTGTGTCGCACGACGTATGCTGCCTGCACTTTTTCTCCTCAAATATTGACGATTTTTTTTTTCTGTGTCGATACTTTCCCCCTTCTCTTTCCTTTTCATTAGAGTTATTTTCATCACGGTTTTTCAATGTGGTGATAGTTCTCCCGCTGTTTTCCATCTGTCCGTCGTCTAATTTATTTCTCCCCCGCTTCTGGTCCGATTGCTTGTCTAAACAGACGACTATTAATGACGTAATGTCCCTATAAAGAATAATCAGCATATTATGTAAATGAGGATGCCTATTACTACCAAACACATCCAGAGTCAACCTCGGTCCAAGTCTGTCGTGTGTAAATACAGAACTCTCCAATTCCATGGATTGTATTGCAATATCACAAAGCACTTACATTTGGGCTTTTGAAATTACAAGTTTTGACTTTTGTTTTCTTATAACATAGACTGCTTAAATTGTATTATTCTTTCTAGAGTTATATTGCTTAAATGTCCTGAACATATTTCTAAATCAGGATTTCTTTCTGTCATCCATATGCTGCTAATAGGGAGCTCAGTTTCTTTTGGACTGATCATAATGCTTGCTTTCATTTTTTCAGCTCTTGGATTTCAATGGATGTGTGTATTGTAAAACAAATCAGATCAGGTTGGAACATTCTCGCAAATGAACAAAAATAAAGATTCAAAATTGCAATGGAATACTTTATGGCAAATCTCATTTCTAATTGCAGTGTATTAGAGTCGGCTCTAATTAAAACTGTCAGCGATGGGTATTCTTGGAAGTTATAACCTAGTACTTCATTCAGTCTACCACAGATCTACTTGATATGGATATTTCCATGTGCCCGGAAGACAGGAACTGAATATGTTTGCTCCCGTGAAAAGGTTAATTGTGCAAGATATTGCTGGTTGTAGAAAAAAAAAATTGTGTCGTGTATTCCAAGAATACAAGAATTCTAGACCGCATGTCTGTATTTCACAGCTGTGTGCTACTTCATGGTAGGAGCTCTCCTTTTGTTTATACACAAATTATGCGTGTTTGTGAATCAACGATGTTTAATTACGCTACGGGTAGTCGCGCGGACAAAACCAAATACCCAGCCGAACAGCTAGCGGTGAGAAATTAAAGCGTGTGCCGCGCCAAACCTTGAGGGCAGCAATTGGGCTTGATACCCCCCTAATGAAGGGCCGATGCGATCGCTTAGATCTTTCCTCGTTGGATATCAAAACAATAGTCGATGTGCCGTAAGCACACCGTGGGATGCATCAATTTGAAGACGACCTGTAGCTGGCACATCTTGGTGTCTTTTATGGTCAGGTGGAGATAATGATCACTACCAACTCTGCCAGCAATTAATAACATATCTCCCGGCAAACCTTAAGACTTGCTCCCCTTGAAATTGTTGGGCCGTTGCTACTAGTAAGGGCGGTCAAACCTCTTTGTGGGTGACAATTATTTTCAGGTTCCCTTTTTATGTTTCCACAAAAGACGGCCGCTAACCTGGGCTTCCTTGTGTTTGATATAAACTGCCCTTGAGCGATATTTGCTTCTCCTAACGTCTGCCATTGGATTTTTTTAACTGGGACGAAGATGAGTCTGTATCGCGCCCCCTGGAGGCGAAAAAGCAGGAAGACCTTTCCTGTGCTTTGTCACATTTGCAGGACATCCATTTGGCTATTGGTTAACAAAACACAGGTTGACAAACTACGGTTGGTCGTTAGCACAAAGACAAAAGATGAATGTCTTAGGGGGGACCTGGGTCCCAATGAAGATCTGTAACAAGACTAAAACATTTTGGTCAAATACTGTCACCAGCAATTTGTAAGATTTCTACAATCTTTGGTTGCTCATTTTCAATTATTCGCCTGGCACCAAGACATGGGTTGTTGTTTATCGTGATTGTATACAGTTTCAACCATGAAAAGGCGAGAAAACTTGATAACTTTAACCACGGTTTTCCTGGATAGTCTTCGGAACTTGGTGGAAAGCGGGACCAATGGATGAAGCTGAATAACACCAGTTGACGTAGCTGGGACTAATAACCATAATTCTAATTGCCTGACAGGCTAAGTAATAGATAGTAATGTGTGGAAACAAGGTGACACGTTATCCCTTTGGGTTTTGGACGAGGTGTATAAAGCGTCCATTCTTTGCAGAATTCTTGCCAATTAATGCAGAGCTGCAGGTGTTGCCAAGACATCTTCCGCTGTGGGCTTGCAGCTCATTTTAGCGACGAGAATTTAACTGCCAGCCACGGGACTTAAGGCGGGAAATCTCCATACCGTGCAGTTCATCCAAAACTGATGACAAATTCTGACAGTTTTTGGCTCTGAAGATGTGAAGGTGTTGCCCGGGCAACCTGTTCACACCAGAGGAGGAAACGATGATTAGTAACCAACACATCATCTTACCACGTACAGCCCCCTTGCTTAATCACATTTTCGACCCATATTCCTAGCACTACGTGAACGACTCCCAAAAAGATAAAGCCTAAACGCAAGATCTATTTTGTACCTCCACCTTTTTGTTGCTTTGACAATTGGCACAGAACTTCACCACCTTTTAATGTTCTTAACTCTCTTCACCAGGTCTCCTCCATCAACAGAGTACTACGCAGTCTTGCAGCCGAGAAGAATATGGGTCATGACGCCATGTTTGATAAACTACGCATGCTCAACGGCCAGTGGCCCCGTCCAGGCACGTGGTACTCTCCTAACGCCGCCATGCCGGGCCAACACATGAACCACGTGCACGAGGTTGAAAGCAGCTGCAAGAAAGAAGGTTGGTCGAGATCATAATGTAATACGGAACATGTCGATGTTTACGAAGGCGGGAAATTATTGATGTATTTGTTGTATAATTTTGGAATGATTTGGAAATTTACACTTTAACCCTAACACTCCTCAGTCCTCCAACAGGTGAAGGATTGAGGAGGGTTAGGGTTAATAAGATACCAACTGTATATGGTGGCTAAATCCCCAAACGTGAAATGTTGTCTTTATTTAATTAACAGCCATCATGATATCCCCTGCAGTTGCACAGACTATTCCTGTGTGTTTAGTAAACAATCACTCACCCAAAAGATCGACCACATGTCATGGCAAAATGCTTTAGCATTTTTTATATTTATCTCCAACAAATAGACTATGAAATGCGCAAGTTCAGCATGCCACATTTTATTTGAGTCATTAGTTATATCATCCAAGTCTTTTTTGATCCGTCCGTTTGTCCCTCCATCTATATTACTCCTGTCCACACACACTTCATCATCTCACCATCTCATAGCCTCGTTTTCTGCCCCCTCCCAATTTACCCCTTATATTGTTTTATACGGCCGTTCGGCAACTGCACATGATTACCCGGAGCCAGTGGGGTGGAATAAACACACATCTTCCACGATCCAAACTGGGGAAAAATTACACACGCGGCAGAGAAGCGTGGACTCTCATCAAATCGAAGACTTAAAGAAAGTACGCCATTTCATTATTATGGCACGAAACAACTCGGCTTTTGCGTCAATCAGACATTACCTTGCCAGGCAGCAACGACTCGGCAACCAATTCCCCGATGAATCGCAGAATCTGTGATCCAAGTTTTCATCTTACTCGCAAATAACAGCGGTCGTCTCTCCGGCCGATTCTCCTAGAATAAGAAAAAAAGACAGAGAGAGGGCATATAACTAAGAGTGGAAAATCCGTGGAATGCTGCGCGCGCGAGTTTGTCTAATCTAGCGTGGCGATTTGCGAAATAATCGCGCGCCATTTCCCCTTGCTGTACTACTGTGGATTTTTTTGGAGGGTTTTAGGGACTTTTCAGTCTTGTTTGCACGTTTTTGTAGAATTTTTGCAATGCCGTGAACGGAAGTTGCAAGGATAAGAAACGATAATATTTATGTATGCTTGGTTCTTTCGTTTGCAGAGTGATGTTTGGTTCACGTAGCTCCACGAAACAATAACTTGAACGTTAACCTAGGAAGCTACGGTTTCTGTAAATAGTTGATGAATTTGGTCTCGTGGCGTTTGAAATCAGATTAAATCCTGATACTTAAATTAACTCACGACGAGTGTTTCTTTTGCAATTGATTGAATAATATCTCTTCCATGCATCCCTTGGCTAGTACAAGTGGTCAACCTCAGACTTTTTTCCCCGAGCTATATCTCATCACCTTTCTTCGCCTTTTCCCCACCTCTCAAGCTTAATAGTTGACAATTTCACTAAGTGCCCATTTCTGGCAGCCACCTTCAAACTGGGAATTCATCTCAATCTCCAAGCACCCTCCCCCTTTCCCCTTCTTCCAATGAGGCACTCTGTGGCCGGCATGTACGCCATTTCACCGCTCTCTTTGTCCACATCCGTTGCCCACACGGCAGCATTTATTATTGCCATCCACTACGCCGGAGCCAAGTGCTAATTACTTCCCCTCCAGTGAGCTCATCTATTTCTAGTTCGTTTTTCTCTCCTCTTTCTCCACGGGATTTTCTCCCAACTTCTGCGATTTGCTGTTCTGTCGTCGAACCATTGTGAAGTGGCCAATTCTTCCATCATTCTGACGGCCCTAATGGCTGCTGTGATGGGCGGAAGACTTGGATGGGAGAAATATGGTTCGTTTTTGACGCAGACAAAAACGTCTCTCACTTAGCGCGCTCATGTTTTTACTCGAGCGCGCGTCCCTGTTTACCCGACGGCGCCCTCAATAAGGATGGTTTCTCCCTGACACTAATGAGGGCGCACTTTATTTGGAATGTTCAGCCTTCCGCAGCTGCTGCTACGCAACATAACCAGACCGTGCATTGTGACAGTACCACGACCTGAGTTATTTACATATTTCTCTGCTGCTTATTGCTTCGATTTTCAAAACAAAATCTTTCCTACTTTGTATACTTTTCATTTCTTCAAAGCAGGTTTTTAGAATTCAAATCTAACATGTTTTAATCTTTTCATTTGGTTTTGAAAATGGTTACAAAGTCTTTGTAGTTCCATGCTACTGATTTCTTTCACTAATGCAAGACGCATTCCTTGGGGAAATTAACTTCTTGCCAGTATGATTTGAAAACGCGAGACAAAGTCTTCTCTTTCGATGGCTCTTTCCTCTGCTGTCTTATTTATTTAAAAGTGTGTGTAAATCCTTCAGCTGCATGCCAGAACAGACGTTCACTCCTTCCTCCTTTCAGCAATTGCCATTCTTTCATCAAAGGAATATCTCATGAAAGATGCATGTACGTTGTTGAAGGAGACCTTAAAGATTCCGAGACCGCTGCGTACCTTGGCGCTCATCGTGCGCCATCTGTCCAACCGGCACCGAAGGACGCGGCCTCAGCCTCCATCCTTTCTCCCTTCTTCCTTGCCCGGTAATTGCCGGGATCGTATTGTTTAGATAATGAAAAATTAACCGCCCTATACTTGACAGTAGGCTTCTTTGTCCATTCTGTAGAAGCAGTTTCTCTTTCTTTTCAGGCTGATGCCCCCCCCCAAATTGTCTTGGTTGTTTGTGGAAACTTGATTCCAAATATCAAAATTTGAAGTTTAATTTTTCGTATAAAGTAAAAGTGTTACTGTCGAAATCCTTTCCTGTCTTTTTAGAATTTGTCAGTAGTTAGCAGAAATTGGCTTTAATGTATCCGAGTAAGATATCAACAATTTTACAAGAAAGAATTGAATTTCCTCGGCTCCTCCAATTTCGTTCTTGCGTCACTTGCAAATGGAAAACGAAAATGATGATTGTAGAAGGTATAAAAAATCTTAGTGTAAAATGTATTTCGAAATAGTTATTAATATTTGCACTGCTCTGTACCAGAGTCGGGTGCATGTCAGACGAAAGAGGTTCATTTAACATTTTCAGGCAAAATTTGCGGTGATGTTGACATTAAACCAACATCACCGTGAGTTTTGCCTGAAAACTGAATATTAATAAAATCTGTTGACAAGTAAACCCAACAAAATTGAATATTTCTGTTGGACATGCTACTTTAAATCAAATGCAGTTGTGGGTTTTTTCAGTCCAGCGTCAAATGCTGATGATTTTTTAAAGCTTTCTGAAGAAAAGGATTTGCAATGGCAAATTATAGCTTTCTATAATAAGACCGTAATCTTCAATTTGCAGGGAATTTTTGTGTGTCGGTGGATTTATCGAGGAAAATAGCTACCAAATGCTTTGAAGCAAGACAGGAAGTCCTAGCGCTAGTGGCAGGTTGAGAGCTTCTTCGGTTAGTCAAGGAGACTCTTGCTCATGCCCGACCAATCCAAGTTCAGGGCCAACCGTGCTATGTCATCCGCTTTCATTACTGCTCCCCTCCTTCCCTTCTCTCTTCTCTTTCCCTGACGATCTGTTCTTGCGATTTTCCCGAGAGGTTTGGACTCCCTAAGAGCTCCGACTCGCCGCTTGGCTCCCGGCCATTGCTTTCTGAGATCTTATCCCAGGAAATTCCATTTTCGCAAATCTGATCGGCGGGTCGAGACTGTTTTCTGAGGAGAAAGAGAAACGTGCGATACAGTGATTTTCCTTCCTGCTATTGACAGAGGAGTTGAATAATGGAAAAGAGCGAGTGGCAAAGGAAAAAGGCGCGATCGTTTTGGCGCGCTTGGACTGATGGCTTTTCGGCGCCGGTCGTCTGCCGACTGCAAGTCCCAAATGACACATGCGTAAGCTACTATAATTATTTTTCCACCGCAGATTTTTCTCCCTTTTACACAAGTGTTTGTGTATCGGTTTACGATATATTACCTGGTGACTGAATTGATGTTTTGTTTATCGCTGACGCCTTTAACAGATTTGAAGAATGCTGCAGTTCTTGCCTGAAAATGAAGGATTCGTCAAAGGTAGATCTTAAGACAAGCAGTAATGCTGACAAGCTGCCATTAATTAATTGAAAGAAACGAAACGTACTACAGGAACTCTTGCATCTTGCTGGATTAGTCCTGACGGTCAGGAGACCAGTGAACCCGTCAGTGAACTCACAGGAAATCTTGAATCTCTCATGTCCATGGTAATACCATGGCAACGGGACAGTCACTTTGCTATCATGATTTTCCGTCATGGTAGTCTCATCAATATTGCAAAACTGCCCTTCGGTCGTTTCACTTGTTACCAGGTGTATTTTTACCTTTTCTGTAAGACATAAGGATATGCGCCCGTCCTTACATTTTACAAGGCGAACTAACTAAAATATGTCCCAAAATAGACTTATAAATCTGATGTATAAAGATTTTGGAAGTTCCTGTTCGGATAAAATTCAGCCCTCTGAAGTTGGATTTTATACAAAAATTAAAGGGAAAAGGATCTTCCGTGCACAAAATGTCACGTGTTTTTGCGCAGCAAAGTAGCGCCACCAATTTTGATGAAGTTCAACACGTCCCGATCTACGGTCTTAGGCGGGAAAACATTTAACATCTGGTGCACGCATGGCTACCAGTGATTAAGGACAATAAGGCCGTGTCCGAATTACTGGCTACGGCCTGCTATTACGCACAAGTCTATGGTAGTGGCTCCAACGATTTCCAATAGAGTCGTGTGTAATTTCAAGCCACATCCGAGTGATTTGGACGCGGCCTAAATAGCCAGCAACAAACAGGATATCATTATGTTAACGTGACATGCAGGGCGGCGCGCTGAAACCATGCGTGCGGATGTTTCTGCCACAACTGTACTTGAGTAATGGCGCCCTCATTTTTAGTAAATCCATGACGATCCAGTCCCTGTACAGAAAATATACAGTGGCGGCGATAAAGTAGGCCCTCAAACTATTAGTAACCTTGAAAAGAAACTTGTAATTTATGATAAAGCA